GAATGAGTAGATGACGCTTTACTACAAAAGCGAAAAGCAATCATGCTTATGCACTTTGATGCCAGTTCGGTTCCCCTTACCTTTAATAGCTAACATCTAACCAACTAATATTATTGCTCTACTAAAAAAGAATATGAAGTCATGAGTGATAAAGTTTGTAATGAATGAGACGTCAACTACCTTATATTTTTTGTAGCCTTTCGTGTTCAAGGAGCGTTTCTTTGTAAATGTTGTTTTCCTTCTAGAAAATAAACCATCGTATATTTTTACTTGATAAAAAACGACCGTGTGTATAATTCAAGAGCTGTTTGGAAACTATTTTGTTTTTATTTTTCAGTTTTTGGTTTTCAGTCTTCACTTTTTTAAAAATTGAAAACTGAAACCTTGTTTTGGTTACTACTTTCAGTTTTAAAAAAATTGAAATAGAAAACCAAAAAGTCAAAACTCAAGGTCAATTTTTGAAAACTCAAGAACTTGGTTTTCAGTTTTCATTTTTTTTTAAACTGAAAAATTAAAGTGGTTACCAAATAAAAATTGGTTTAGTTTTCAAAAAAAGTGAAAACAAAAACTGAAAACAAAAATTTTATCAAGCGGCCCCTTAATTCTCAAATTTTTTGAATCATAAATTGCAGACCTAAGTATTGTTTATTTCGTATATATTAGTATATTGAAAGTTTAAACCCTAAAGTTGCAGTTAAATTTGTCTAGAAATTCACAAATTTCATCTCATTCCTCGATCAAACTTCTAACCACCAAGTCCATCATTCAAACACACTAGAAGGTAGTGTTGAAATCCTTAATTTTAAAATGTCATTGAGTTGTACTCCTCTTGGCCACAAACGATCATATGATAAAACTTATATTTAAATAATTTGATTAACTATAAAGAGACCTTTAAAAAAGTTGACACGTGGGTCAATGAAGATATGAGATAAGTGGCTTGAAATGGATTCGAAGGAGCTTTCAATACATGACTCACGTTTGGTGTTTCCGAACTTGTGGCTATGAACAAGTGGGTGTACCACTAAACAACCCGTGGAACCAAAATGTTGGTGTGTGGATCAGTTTTGGTCTTCCAGATGCTTCGCACTAACACACCTCTGCACCCCATTTTCTTGGTCTTAACTAATTATATATAGTGTCTTTTAAAAGGTCGAGATTTGGATATAGATCTAGTTGCATTCAATGGTCTAAAATATACGTCAATGTAGATGGTTTTAAAAGAAAATTGTAGTAATGATTCTTTAACTTTAATACATCAAAACGTGAAATTATGATTTTTTTTTCATCAACTTTGTCATAGTTTTGTTAAAATGAGTCATGTTGAAATGATCATTGCTATAATTGGGTTAAAATTGAGAGATTGTTTCTCCAATTGGTTAAAGTTGAGGAACTATTTCTACAATTGGATTAAAGTTGAGGGACTATTGCTACAATTTTTCTCATTTGAATTTTCGTATTTGCCCCTTGATTCAGTCTCACGTGTGTTTTACGTGATTTATTTTGATGAAAATTCTAACTGAGTTGATGAAAAGGATTATAATTGCACATTTTAATGAATTAAGGGATTAATGGTCACAAATTTTTAGTTGATGAATCATTATTATAGTTTTATCTATTTTTAAACTAATACTAGATAAAGTCCACATCCTATGTGTGTAAATGTAAATATTAAGGGATGTGCTATCCACACACCCTTTTTTATTTCTCACACACCCCTTGTTAATTTATGTTCATTCATCATCTTCGTTTCATCCAATCTGACGGCCGAAAATTAAAAAAGTGTGTGAAAAGTAAAAAAAGATGTATAGATATCACACCCCAATATTAAAGATTTAAAAAGAAAAGTATACTTGAAAGAGAGAAGTTGGAAAGGGACAGAGGGCCTACGCGGGGAAGGTTTTATTTTTATTTTTTATTCTTTTAGAATTAGAGATATACTATAATGACATATGAATGAGAGTAGAAAAAAATTTAGTGTGTGCAAAATTACATTATTGTCCATAATTTTATTTGATGGTAAAATACCAAATTGTCTTTTCACCTTCTTATTGGTAGTTTGGGGTATCTTGTTCTTGAATTTGTTATTAAAATAATGTTTCTACAAAGCTTGTATTACAAAGAGATAATATTGAACAAGATGCCCCAAGCAAATAAGGTGACAAATTCGTAACTTTTATCATCATTCACTTTCTTTTATTTAGAAAGACATGTTACAAAAAGATTGATAATCAAGAAGTTTAGTATCCATTAAAAAAAAAAAAAAAAAAAGAAGTTTAGTATGTATCACAATTTATTATCAAGTATTAGAAATTTAAAAAACTTTTAAAGGCACGTAGTGACACATCCCGACCCGGAATGTCCACTAGGACCCAAAATCGAGTTATGTTGGCCGACACCTGGAAGGTGACGAAGCCATAAAGTGTGATAGTGTATAAAATGTGAATAAATTTAAACCTAAAAATGTCTAAATACCAGAGTGCGCTACAAGTGGGAGCGAACCCATTTCACACGCGATGTTAGAGTATAAGTAAAGTGCAGTAGTGTGGGTAAGAATTATACCCTTAAAAGTAGCCACCAATACTAAGATTAGCCATATATCCTCGTTGATACGAACTCAGCAGTTAAAACCTGAAGGGGTACAAAATAGAAAGTGTGAGTAAGCAGTAAAACCAAGCTTCCCAAAATTATTACCTTTCTAACAGTAATAACCCCTCATTGTAATTCCCTTAGGCCCCGTTTGTTTGGTGGGATTAAAGAGGACTGGATTGGACTGGACTATAGTCCTTTGTTTGGTGTGGTGCAGGATATGGTTTAATGAGATTAGGTGGGATTCGCTGGGATTAAACACCTCCTTACGAGGTCTTCCCCAAGATCCCCGAAATTGGGCGGACTCGTAAGCCCAGAGAAACTGAGAAAATCGCGAGGTTCCTGCTCGTCCTCCCTACCCTCGCTCATCGTCGTCTTGCCGTCGCTCATCGTCGTCTTCTTGACCCTCATCTCTGCGTCTTCCTCACCCTCATCTACATCTGCTCGCCCTCATCTGCATCTGCTCGCCCTCATCTGCTCCGAGCTGTCTGGTAAACTTCGAATCTTCGATTTATTTCGTCATTTGTTTTGCAGATCGTGATAATACTGAGCTTTATTTGATTTTGTTGTTTTGGGTTTGAGAAATTTTGAATCCTAGACCTCTGCACTTGAACAAATTAGGGTTTGGATTCTGCTATATAATTTTGCGATTTGGGGTTTTCTGTGATGGTAAATCTGAATGTGATCTGGCTTCGAATTTGTTATGCATGCTAAATCTGATATATGATCTGGGTTCTAAACAAATTCGAGATTTTAATTCGAATGGGATTTTTTTGGGTTTTTCGAAAACATGATGCGATAGTGTTGCTTCGGTAAAGTAGGAAAATGTTCGTCTTCTCAGCAGATTAGTAAGTCTGCCAAAAGAATACGCATACGAGTTAGCAAGCAACATGTATAGAAAATGTTGAATACATTTGGCTGTTGAATACATTTCATTTGCATTGTTTCTGAAGACACATTTTTCTGTTTGTACTGTCTTCGATTGATAATCCCGTTGTTATGGTTTAGATTGATTTATTCAAATGTTACTTGGGCTTGGATTGTTTAGACTTTGTAGTTTGCCATATGCTTTAAAATGCTCCAGCTAATTGCTTGTTAATATCGTTCGGATTTATCCCTTGTCTTGCTTTTCTTATCTTGTAGTTCCTGGTTCTTCATGAGTCACGCAAACTTAGCATCATTCGTACATTCGATGATAAGGAATCATAGCATCCATTGTAGCTTTATGAACTCAACATTACATTGAAATGACAGCATTGTTCTGCATAATGATCTTCCTAACCACAGGTGCTATTCTGAAAACGTTTGTTGTTTCTTCCCTTCTATATACATCACCATACACGCAAGGGAGTCGTTTGCCAATAGTCCGAGAACTGCATACTGACTCTTTAACCCCTCCAATATTCTATTTGACTCTTTAACCCCTCCAAGAACAGGGTCATTTCTTAGTTCCCAGTACATATGTTATGCATGGATGAGATTTGTCTCTGTTACTTGGCACTGTCATTTCCTTGCGGTTGAAGTTAAATTATAGACATATAAACTTTTTACAACGTTTTTAGTTGATTTATTTTCTTCTGCAATTTAGGCTTCGAATTATGTCATTGTTGTTGTTGGTCACACAATTGGTGGCATGTAAATTTCGTTTTTGTGCAGTCAGCATAGTGTATTCAAGTTCTGAACTGTGTGAGCACTGTGCAAGCAGAGTAACATATGTTCTTCCTGCCCTTCATCTTTTTCTGTTTAAGTGGAACAACACACCTTGTATACAAACCAAACTATTCATCTTTCTCTGTTTAAGTGAAACAACACAGCTTGTATACAAACCAAACTAACTTTATTACATGTAACACAGCTTGTTCATCTTCTCGTCATGACCACCCACCCTGCCACCATAACCTGGGCCTGTGCCTGCCCCAATTCCGCCATCTCCTCCACTGCCATTACCAAAACACTGCACCATTGATTAGTTCAAGTGCAACTTGTCATTTCCCTACCTATTTTTCCATGATTTCTGTTTTTCTAGGTATAAGTATGCCTAGAAATTTTGTACTTGTTTCAGTTTGCTTTTGATATTTGCGGTAATGTTGTTTTATCAGCTGATATAGCATAGCTGGATTATATTATTTGGTTTGTTCTTTGTGCCAGATGGAAAACGTGCAGTAGCATAATGTCCTTAATATTTTTTTTCGTTTTTTTTGTTTGGATAGATATGGATCGAAGGAAGCTTTTATTGATCTTATTGTTAGAGATGTCTCATTTAGAGACGATTTGCATTTGTACGATTCTTGTGTTGCTGATGCTAAGGGCAAAACAGAGACATGTTGAACGACGCACCTTGACTAACCGTTCACTTGTTAGACGAGAGATTAGTTTGTGTTATCTGAATGGTATAATAGGGAATACTGATATTGAATGTGTCAACGAATTGAGAATGGATAGAAGGACTTTTGGCATATTATGTGACTTACTTCGTCAAGATGGGAGGATAAAAACGGATGGTTTGGTCTCTGTAGAGGAGCAGGTGTGTATGACTTTACAAATACTAGCACATCATACTAAGAATCGTAGTGTTGGTGGTAGATTTTATAGGTCGGGAGAGACTATAAGTAGGTATTTCAATAGTGTATTGCAAGGAATTTTGCGATTACAAGGTATCCTACTAAAAGTCCCTCAACCTGTGCCTATTGATTCTACAGATCCTAGGTGGCGATGTTTTAAGGTAAGTTGATAATTATTTTCATTTTCCCTAAGCTTTAACTCTTCATTCCCTTTGTATAAATTAACAAAAGCTTTTTTTTTTTTTTAGAATTGCTTGGGAGCATTAGATGGAACACACATTGATGTGCATGTACCTGAAATTGACAAACCAAGATACCGAACTAGAAAGGGTGGAGTCGCAACTAATGTATTAGGTGTGTGTTCAGGAGATATGCAGTTCATATATGTGTTTCCGGGGTGGGAGGGTTCCGCATCAGACTCTAGAGTGCTACATGATGCAATTACTAGGCCTAATGGTTTTAAGGTACCAACGGGTAAGATTATTAGTTAGTCTCAACTTTGTAAGTTAGGTCTAGTTTTGTTTTTGAACTACAAAATACTAATATAAGGTCTTTTTTTTTTATTAGGTTATTATTACCTTGTAGATGGTGGTTATACAAATGGTGAAGGATTCCTTGCACCCTATAGAGGAATACCTTATCATTTATCTGAATGGGAAGGACGAACACCTTCTAATAAGGAAGAATATTTTAACATGAAGCATTCTAAGGCAAGGAATGTAATTGAACGTTGTTTTGGCTTGCTAAAAGGAAGGTGGGGGATACTAAGGAGTCCATCTTTCTATCCGATAAGGACACAAGGTCGAATAATTACCGCTTGTTGCCTACTACACAATCTTATTAGGCAAGAGATGTCTGTAGATCCCATGGAGAATGTGCCAATAATAGAAGATGGACAAAATACAGAAGAAGGTGAATATGTTGGTAGTGTTGAAACATCTGACCAGTGGACTGCAAAGAGGAATGCCATGGCTCAGGAAATGTATAATGAGTGGAGAGCAATTAGGAACCAGCAACCGAACTAGCTATATGTGTTAATGATAAGATTTTATTTTAGTTTTCCTTTTTATCATGCATATGTTGGATATTATTAAAATGATTGGATATTATACAAATTGATTGGATATTATGCAAATTGATTGGATATTATGCAAATTGATTGTTTGTATTGTATTTTAGTACATTCAAATATTTTTTGTTTAGGTATGGATAGCCACAATAATTTGAATGCTTCTCAAGAGCCAAAAGGAAGAAGGCGTAAATGGGAAGCATTTGAGGAAGAAGTATTACTATCCGTTCTTGAGGATTTTGTTGCTCGGAAGCAACGATGTGACACAGGTGCTTTCAAACAAGGTACTTTGATTGAAATAGCGAAAGCTGTCAACGTTTTATGTCCTAATTCAAATATAAAGGCAACTCCACATATTGAGTCAAAGTTGAAGAAATGGAAAAAAACATATAGTTTGGTCTTTGACATGATAAACACAAGTGGATTTGCATGGAATGATGTCAAAAAGTGCGTTGAAGTTGACAGTGATGACGCATGGCTTTCTTATGTGCAGGTTCATATCCTATTTTATTTATACATTAGTTATATTCTTGCTGCTATATTTGTTATGCATGCTAAATTTTAGTTTTGCTATGTTCATATAATCTTAGAAAAATAAAGAAGCTGATGGATGGAGAAGCAAACCTTTTCCACTGTACGATAGATTTGCATATATATTTGGAAAAGATCGGGCTACGGGTAATGTAGCCGAAACCCCTGCTGAAATGATGGAGGAACAAAGTCATGCTCAGGTTGGTACAAGTGATATTGGAGGTGAAAATGTTGTATCTTCAATGAACCAACAAAGCCAACAAAGCACCCCATCTGAAAATAGCCAAAGAAAGAGGAAAAGAGCTATGGGAAATTCAAGTGATGGAACCGAGGCAATTATTAGTGGACTGAAAGAATTTTATGTTGAAAGTGGGAAGAGGATGCAAATGGTAACTGAAGCTTTAGTTCAAGGTACTGCAAATCATACTGACATAGCTAACGAACTTGAAGCAATGGGTCTTTCTCCTATGGATCAAATTGATGCATTGACTCTTATTTTGGAAAAACCACAAAATGTGGGAGTGTTCAGGGCAATCAATTCGGGACTCAAGAAAGTGTTCGTCCAAAGGCTTTTAAGCGACAAAGCAAGCGGATGAGTATATTATGTGGTGCCCTTAGACATGGATGTATTTTATTAATCGTACAATCTTAGGTTATGGCTTCTAACTTAGCTTTGCACTATGACGTATTTTGGCTAATGTTAACTAGGATTTTGTAAAGTATGAAGATCTACTTTGGAATGCTATACTATAGTTAACTGGCATTTTGTAAAATATCCTGGATGAAAATTTAGTGAATGATGTATTTGTCGGACTAAGAAATCCTTGGATCAAGTTATGTTGATATAAGTATTTGATGGCTAATGACGTTTAATGTGTGATAAGAAGACAAATTAAATCAACTTTTAAGGGCAAGTTGTGGATTGATTACAATAACAATTCAAGAGATTAAACTCAGGGCAATGTGCCCAAATATTTGTAGTAATTTGTAAGATTGTTACTCCTATTTCAATTTCAATGTTGCTACACCTATGCCAACCCCAATTCCAATTCCGAGCCATGTAATTTTTAGGGCGTTGGACACATGTATTGGAGCTATTAAAATAGAACAATAATGTAATCCTAGTGTAAGCAAACACAAATATGGTGAATAATCCTGTTTTCATTATCCTGCTTCTTAGTCCGACACTGCACCAAACGCTTCACTAAGTTAGTCCAGCTTAGTCTAGTCTAAGCCAGTCCAACTTAGTCCCTGCAGCTAGTCCAGTCCGAGACAGTCCGGTGCAACAAACGCACCCTTATTGTTTTCTATAGGACAGTACTACACACACACACACACACACACACACACATATATATATATATATATATATATATATATATATCTATATATCCACCCATGCTCAAAAATGGCCAAAACCACAGGTATGCCATGTCCATAGACTCTACAATGCATTAACAAGTAGGCCAAATGAACTTAATCAATATAAAATGATTCATCAGCCGGAATCACTTAACGTGACCCGTACGACTGTACTCGTATCTCATCAATCAATGTTAGCATATAAGTCGGGAGTCACCTTTAGTGACCTGTACGACTTATCCATATCTCATCAATCATCCCTGCACACGAGTCGGAACCACCTTTAGTGGTCTGTACGACAGGACTGGGTATAAATAAGTACGCTCAAGTGCTACGATCAAGTGAAGACTGGGTGAATAATCGCGGGTCACCTACGAGTCGGAACCACCTATAATGGTTTGTACGACAAGCCTGTGCACCTACCTTGAGTCCAAGGTGAGCGTAAGGTGCGAGAGGTGAACATCACGTGAAGGACTGTGCCCTGACCACGGGCGGGAGCACTAACACCGGGGTGCATGTTTATGTGAAGGAAGATTTGTGAAACACAAGTTTATTTGAGCAACATCAACAACATGCAATTAACAATTAAAAGGCGGAATCATGTTTATATGCACTCAAAAACAAAACTTAACCCATGAACTTCAAAGCCTAGTAGATAGGTGAACCAAGACTCAACTCAAAACAAAGTGAGTTGAGAAATCAATACCTTTGTAGATTCCTCTTTGCATAAGCAAAGGCTAATCACCCAAAGAGAGGGCCTTCATTCCTTGCATCTTAGATCCATGGATTTGGATGGATGAAAAAGTTTCTCCAAGTTCCCAAAATTGAGAACCTCTAATGATTCATCACCAAGGCATAATGAAGAAGAAATGAGTGACCTTGGAGGAGTTTGATTGCTAGATGATCCCTCCAAGGTGGCCTAAATTTTAGAGAGAAAGGAGAGCTTGTGTTCTCATCCTTTCCCCAAAAATTACCATATGTAAATTTTAGGCTATAAAGTCCTTTATATAGTCCCTTCAAATAAGTGACCTAATGGACCAAAAGCCCTATTCTTCTAATCATGGCCGGCCATAGGGTTTATTGGGCTTTCAAGCCCTTTGTTTATTCAAGTTGTCATACAACTTGAGTTAATGGGCTTGACATTCAAATCCCATTGGGCCTTGCGGCCCAAAACTAACCCGAGGTCTTTAACGAACTTATTCGTTTGATTAATTAACATATTAATTAATCCTAGCCTTAGATAAATAATTAAACCATTTAATTATTCTTACTCATCTCCGTTGTTTCTTCAAACTCTACCTTACTCGGTGAACGATCCATTAGGTTCCTATTAGCGAGGCAGTGGGCGATTAAAACTCTTTCTAATCGATTGTGAATTGAAACTTACTTTCAATTCTCCCGTTAGTGATAATACACTTTTAGGGCTTCCACAAACCATGGTTGACGCCTAGCAGCATGTCATGGTTACCCAAGCTAATCAGAAGAGGTGGAGAACCTATTCAGTTTTAGGATTACAAATGCAATACGGTCTTTCTCTAATACAATACTCTTGACCACATTGTTTGGTTTGATAGTTTATTCATGTCTACTATCCAATGTGAGTCTTGTGCTTATATGATTACCTTGAATGTGATTTGGAACACATTCCTAAATCTCATTCATACTTTGGCCAAAGATTCTTAATCATATCATAGAGTATTCTCCCTCAAACAGTTTGAAGGTTAGAGATCCCTTGTTGCACATTCACTTGCCTCCATGGCTAAGTGGCTTAACCCCAACGATGCCATGGACACCCTCCTGATGGAGTGACTTTGACATAATCAAAGATTAAGGACCTAACCACAAGACAACTGTGATGCCTCAGGTCAAAAGACTAATTTGCATTATCCCAACCTTGAGTTCTCATGTGACATGAATATGAGAACTCTTCGTTGATCGTGTTCAGTGAACTCATTCTCTATTGAGCACCTACGTACTTGTCTTGATGTCACACACACCAATGACTCGAGACTAGTCACTCTCCTTGAGAGAAGACATAGCACGTAGTGATCTTAACGGACTGTCAATGCCCAATTGACAATCCTATGATCAGGAACGTTTAGGATGTGTCAACGAAAGAATGGTCTCATGAATCTAACTTCTTTAGATCGCATTCTTCCAATCACATATTCCTTGGACTTATCGTTTAAGCATATAACATTTATATGAGACGGCTCAAACAATAATGTTTGCCCTTAATATTAAACTAGATTAGTTTAACATGTGAAATGTCCATAAAATATCATCATATGATTAGTTTTAGGGCACATTTCCAACATTATGAGCTCTCAATGCATCTCAATATAACATGTACAACTCATGGCAACTAGTACGACAATATCGGAGTTGCCTAACACATAAATGTAGTCATGCTATAACTCCATCGATTCAACTAAAACCATAAACTCACCTGAACTTACCTGGGTGTCCTGCGTTCACCTTTGCATTTTGAAGCATTCCCAATAATTGTGTTCAAGTAATATACATATAGATATACCATGATGCAATCTAATACTCAACCATGTCGTAGCATTTTCAATTATATACAATACGATGTAAAATGTACAATCAATAACGCCCTACTCCCGAACTACCTATTTTCAGGGATAATTATCTGTGACAAACCCAATTAACACTAATTTAACTAACTAATTCACAAAACTAAAACTTGCATTTACCAATTTCCTTCGCATTACTCAATTTCCCAAATAAGGCTTTTGTCTCAAATATATTATGGCTGCATCTAACGTCTTGTTAGACTGCCTACATACCCTAAACAGGGATCAAGCCATTCGCAGTTCATATTAGTACTTCAAGCATTCATAATAATTATATGAAGGTAATATACCTAATCAATTTAAAAGTGTCGTTGGAACAATCAATAATATGTACGATAAAAGGAAAATATCCACTCACCTGGAGTCCACGCTATGATTCCTAGCGCACGCATCGAGGCGTCCCGAATGATTGGCGCCTGTGACCAATTATCGAATCACATCTCAAAAATCTTATCAATAGAATACATAATTCACGTAAAACACATCCTCAAGTACATTCTAAAATAGTTCAAGACTCATTGACCACAAGTCAACCGTCGATCAAAAATCAACGGTAGGGTCTACACCCTGTATAACTCAACCCGGAAGATCCGCTTATCAGATTTCCAATCCACAACTCCCAAATATCCACAATATGCTTCTAGAATAACATAGTAAAAATTCATTATGATCCAACGGTCGGATCTCCGCCAATTGCCCAAAACAAGTGGCCATAACTTACAAATCCAATTCGGGAAGATCCGTACGTCGGATTTCCGATCCATAAATTCCTATGATCTTTAAATATTACGTATTATAATGTATCCAATTTTGGTGATGATCCAACGGTCGGATCGTCGATTCACATTTTTGATCAAGTAACGTATCGTAACGAATTTAGGTTCCAACGATCACCCTACGTCATTCAAATATCAAAACTGAATTCAAGACATTCGACATAGCCTAAAAATAGTATTGGCGGCCCACTGGCCACGTGCCGCGGTATGCACCACCGTGGGTGGCGGTCGGCCACCCCGACTCGCCGGAAAATTCAACTATTTTCAAAAATTCTCAAACTTCACAGAAATGAATATCTCAGTGAGTGGAGCAACTTTTATACCTGCCATGAAGTCCAAAAGTGGACGAAAGATGGTCAATTTTACCCACAAAGCCGATGGGTGCCTAAAACTTCCCGGTGTCGATTCGTCTTCTATAGTGGTCCAACGGGGTCAAGGTTGGTTGTGTTTTACTCCTGGGATGATGGGCTACAAAGCCCAAGTGGTGGCATCGGCCATCGCTTTGCTGATTTGCCGAAAAATTGAAAAGAGTGGCCAGAACACTGTTGATTTTCGTCGACTTTCGTGGCCTCCAACCGCCATATACCATGGTTAATCAAGGTGGTTCTTGGGTGAGTTTTGTAGAGGGAAATGAGAGCTTCAAGATGGTGGTGGTGGCGTCGAAAAACTCCATCGGAGTTGGCCGGAATCGGCCTTGGAAAATGAGTGGTCACACAGGGTTGGGCACGGGAAGCTTTCCAATTTTTTTTTTTTTCTCTTCTGATTGGGTCTCACCCTCCCCCTCTAATTCTAATTGGTTTCTTGAACTTATACTTGATTGGTCCTTCCTATTTGTGTCTAAAATCTGATTGGCCACTTTCCCATAAGATGAGAATTCAAATAATTTATAACTAAACTTTAAATAATCATTTTCAAACGTCCATAACTATATCGTTATAATCCGGACTCGCAAACGGCTTTCGCCTATGCGTTCACACCAACGAGTACTACGAGAATATGTTAAAAGAATAAGTCATACGTCTCTCTAGACGATGATCAACGTAAGTCAAAATCTTTGCCTCTAGGGCATTTTCGTAAATTCACGTTTTTAAAATAAAAACGTAAAATTTGAAACGGGTTGTCACACGTAGCGCCTGTGAGTAAAAAATACCAACCAAAACAATATACTTTTAAGGACGTGTGGTGCCTGTGATTATAAAAAATACCTCAAATTAATTAAAGGATAGTTTAGATATGAAGTGGCAATGACATGAAAATA